ATTTTCAGAGATATTAATGCAACAAGGAAACTGAATCAAAATGATTTCTTCAAATCTGTTGGTAAGTTAAATATCAGAAAATTGAAAAGGAATAACCTTGTACTACAGGTAATGCAACTCAGTAACTGCAACTTTATATACACAAGTAGATGATAAAAAGAAAACAAATCATGTAAATACGAAACTGTTTTTTTTGTTTTTTACTGTAATCATAAATGCATCAAAAACGTTTTTCACAAAAACATTCCACATATACACTCCCTAACCTATATACTATACATTATATGTGCAATACTTGTACAACATCAAGACAAAAATGAGGAAACTGATGTGTTATTATCCTGATTCTAGTTTTACAATTTTTTTTATACAGATAACAGGGTAAACCAGTTTACTTCTAGACAAATTAAATTCCTAGATTCTGAACAATGTACTTATTGTTTTAGTCTTTAGAATACTGCAGTCATATATATATGTGTTAATATCCTTATGAACAATTTATTTCTTATACAACTATCTGTAGCTTGTCCACTAATGAACTGAAAAAGTCAACTATACAGTAACATATACAAGTAATATATGTGCCTGGCTAGTGTCCAAAATATTGTATCAGTATAACACACTACATACTACAGTTGGATGTACATGCATGTATGCACAAAATAAAAAAGATCCTTCTGACAGTTTTTGTAGTGACCAATGGATATATCAGGTCGTTCAAGTGTAGTAACTCAAGAGTAGGTATATGTTCTATATCTGTGATGCCAGAGAACTACACATAATGTATTTATGATAATTTTTTTTACTAAGAAAACTGTTACAAAGCATGTACACATCATATACATTGTCTAATTCAACACATATTTCAAATCAGTAATAAATAAATCTAGCAAAAAATATATATAACAACATATTTTTTTTTATAAGATGTGGAGGGAAGCTCACTAGGATGGATTTTAAATTAAAATAATAAATTTATGCATTTGTTCACAATGTCTAGATAATACTAAATAGTACTAACACTGATTTGGTGTGTAGATTATTTTAGAAATTTTGTAAGACACTTTTAATGTTTAACAACTTCCATATCAAAGAAATGAAAATAGGCAGATGAGATGATGAAATTGACTGGATTTGTAGAACAAAATCCAGTAAAATGAACATTTAAAAAAATACAGCATCCAAGCCATCAAAACACCAGTATAATAAACCTGGCAACATTTCATAATGTTTCAAAGTCTCTTTTTGCATATACTTTCTTTACTATTATTACTGGCAGTAAATTTAAGTGAGTTTAAGAGAAAGCTTGATAAGTATATGATTGATAAAGACTGGCTTTAAGATTTTTTTGTTAATTTATCTATTAATAGTTTTAGTTTAGTTCAGAGGATGGGACAGCCGAGATAGTCCCATAATATCACTAAACATTATGTTAATATTTAACAAGTATCAATATTTTGAGTGAAGCCTAACCTAGTGATTGGAGGAAATTAGATGTTTTTTAATTTATCTATTAATAGTTTTAGTTTAGTTCAGAGGATGGGACAGCTGAGATAGTCCCATATTATCACTAAACATTATATTAATATTTAACAAGTATCAATATTTTGAGTGAAGCCTAACCTAGTGACTGGAGGAAATTAAATTTCGGACCAAATTCCTATATTAGGCCACATTATGTAAAAGTTAATGCATTTCAAGTATGTGCATACAAACATATATCTGATGTTACAACTAAGAGCTACAAACATTTCAATGTAACATTAGGATTGGGGAATGGGTTTTTACAGGATGCTTATGGTTAGGTTCTTGTTGAAGACTATGAGATGGCTGAGCTTTTAAATATTTTATTTTCTATTTTATAAGATAAGACAGCAGCAATATTCCTGACCCTGAACATTCTATAGGAAATATTGAAAATGATGTGAATCATGTAGATATTTACCACTTGTTGGTAAGTAGAAAAATAATGAGGGATTAAAAAAATAGATAAAGCACCAGGACCAGACAAGGTTCTCTCCAGAGCTTTGAAAGAGGTCAGACATCAAATATGCAAATCTTTCTCCCTCTCTTGCTTTTTTTTGGTAGGTCTTTAGAAATATGGATGTGTTGGAGGATTGAAGAGTTACCGATGTCATTCCTGTTTTAACTGTGTGTAAAAGTGGGGTCCAAATGAGCATGCCACAACCTTTTACAGAGTGCCATTCAGCATGTATTTGATGTCAGAGTTACCAATTATTCATTTTACCCTATGCTGCTGATTTAGCAACAGCTGCTGGTAGAGGAGAGTAAACACCAGATACAATATATATAGATCCTGAGAAAAACTGTAAATATGCATTTTGGAAGTTCTAGAGGTTATGGAAATGCAATATGCAAACTTTACAATGGAGAAAAATATTTGTAATCTTCACATAAATATCATCTTGCACTCCAACTTGTCTGAGTCAGACATTGCCAATTCTCAGACATATTTTTAGTACAAGTATTTTTTTTGTGTGTATAACAGACTTGTATATTTTACTAAAAGGTTGCCATGTTCCATATAGATACATATAGTAAAATCAGAATTTTATCAGCATTGCTTTTATAATATAGGATTTGTCCACATTCAGTCAAAGGGGGGTGATAATTTCCCTGAAAACTACAGGCTAGTTAGACTTGCTTATTTAGTGGAAAGAATTCCAGAGTCTGTTGAATAAAGCTTTAAAAAATCTTTTGGGGAATATATCATAAAAGAAAGCAAACACAATTAACTAAAGAGAAATCTTGCCTTACAAATCTATTAAAGTTTTGAGGATGCTACTGTATATATGGACAATGGAAGTGAGGTGGACATGGTGTGCTTAGATTTTCAAAAAACTTGTGATAAGGTACCACAAAAAATATTAGTTAAGCAAATCATGTCAGTAAGGGTGGGAGAAAGATTAGTTAACTTAACTGTACGCTAGTAGGGTGAGAGAGAGTAAAAGGTTTTTGCTAATGGCATTCAAACTTAACCCTTATCACTAGTGAAATGGTTTAGAGAGTCAATGTTTAGACCTTTGTCTTTGTTTTATATCTAAATATAACTTTCATTTTAGATAGTAGTATCCACTTTATGGTCTCACAAAGCGCTGGCCTCTAGTACTGCCAAGAGTAACTTCCATAAGCTAATCACCCTGTTACAAAAATAAAATTTTCATAATTGAAATGTAGCCTGTGTTTTACAGAACTTGTATTCTCTTATCCTGTTGTTTTTGGAATATAGGAAAAAAAATCAAAGGCCTTTGATCTAATGCATAATCATCTAAACTTCAAAATGGTCATCAACAAGAGAAAATAAGAGGTCTTAAACCTTCCTAGAAAATAACCATTTTATACCAAGAATCACCCTAATAGTCCTCCTTTGAACCCTTTTCAGTAAATTAATATTCTTTCTTTGATAAAGAGATGAAAAATATGTACAGTATTCAAAATGAAACCAAACAAATGATTTATTTAGATATAATTACCTCTTTTGACTTGTAACCAATATATATATATATCTATAAATACACCCTAGCAAGACAGAACTGTCCTGATGGCTTGAATGATTTATCCACCATTATGCAAATATCCTTTCTTCAGTCACATTACTGAGTGGGTTTCCATTTTTTAAATGTGTGATTCAAATTATGATAAGCAAGTTAATCATCCAGTTCTCCCATCTGGGGCATCAATATAAAAATTTCAAAAATCCAAACATAAATACTCATTTTAATTTATCTCATTCAGTTTCCATGTAAATTCATGGATCCTTCTATTCTCCACAGATATTAAAAAATCTGAATGTACATTGTCATTTTAAACAGCTTCGTACATGCTAATATCAATTTTCAAGTAAACTGGTTAGTCAAACCTGACAGTCCCAAAATTCCTAATTTTATAGCTCCCTCACAACTTTTCTGTAAATTTCTTTGTTTATATTCTATAGTAGCCATGTGCCCACAAGCAAAATTACAAGACATTTTGTCAACAAGTGTGGGAGATATTCAAAAATCAAGTAATTATACATATATGGTATGTTTTTCTTGAAAACAGACAGGATCTGGTGGAAGATGATTGAAGTTTAGAACCATTAAATCTAGATGACTTTTCAAAGCAATTGCATACAATAAGACTGAAGGACACAAACTGAACTATGGAAAATCTGCATAGGTCTACAGCTAAGGCACAGTTACTTTTGTAATACTGATATAATAGTCAACCTGTGGAATAGTTTGCCTTCAGGTGTGGTAGAAGCTTCAAATCATAGTTTAAGAGGAAATTGGAAGACTATTTTAAAGATCACAGTTGGATATGTTTTTTTTTTAATATATATATATTGGAGTAAGGTAGTGGTAGAAAATGAAATAGTGCAGAGGAACCAAATGGTCTTTTTTTATGACCTATAAATAAAATGTTAAAGTTAAATGCAAATTATTTTTGACAGGGCACAATCTAATGCATTTTAAGTAGTAATATAAAATGTCAAACTTTTCAAACATTAGCAACTTACATTTGTTTTATTTTACAATAAGTTGACCACAACTGCCTATGTGGAAAAAATGAGTAGTCTAGTTCACCAACTTGATGATCAAGCGTTAACATGGTGCCAGTGGCGAAACTCAAAAGCACTTGAAAACCCAAAATTCGGGCTCATCTCAATTTCTTTGTAACTTGTAAGTGTAACTTTTATCTTTTTTTTCATTTCTTTGTTCTGGTAGTTAATCAAAAATTAAAAATACTTAAAAACAGATTCAGTGTTTTTATTTTAGGCTAACAAGGATGGAGAGACCCGCATATAATATTATTACTTTATCATAATACTATATATTCATAATATTAGAAAACACGTATGTTCAAGAAGTATTGATAGAAATGAATAAAAACCCTATAACACAGGTTATAGGGGGTTTATTCATTTCTAACAATACCATACATGATATACTATTGCAGTTACTTAAGCTAGTCTTAATAATACTACTATTTTATTTTACCTCAGTTTCAGATGATGCTCTTCTTGTCTGATCATTCAAACTACACAACCATTCTGAAATGAATAAATCTGCATTAGAATTGGAGTATAACCATTTTAAAGAACTGTTGATCCAGTCCACACTGTTTGCATCTGTACCTTGGGTCAGGGGAGTCTGGAATTGGGAAGTAATTATTGTTCGACTCGAAACAACATCATCAATATCAAAACATTTTGCCTCTGCAACTTCAAATTTCGCCGATGCCTCTTTTGTTTCTTCAGCAAGTTTGTTAAGCGAGGGGCCGTTAGCTTCCACGGGACTTGAGCCGGTAAGATGTTCATTCTTGACAAGATCCTTTTCATCATTAAATGTAGTTGTTTCAGAGCTCCTATCATTCCAATTTTGCACTCGACGAGTTGTTAAAAAACTTCCTAACACAAAAACAATTAAACCAAGTAGAAACCACCCGTAAAAATTAATAGTCACAATGTCAAACATTTGCCTGCTTTTTCTGTCTACACAATCTCGTCAAACTCAAAGCCCTCCACCATACCCAACGAGCTTCCCTTAAGTTTTTATATTATTACTATTAGCCTGACAATGATAACAACCATTTTCAGCGGATTGGACAACTCCTCATGCGCGCGCACAAATTGTACTCGTGGACATCTACCAAATTTATAGTCATATTTGACATGCGCCACATAACGCATGAATGCAGATAATAATTTACTTCCACCGATCTATACATTTCGATAGGCACTTCTTGTATTTTGTGCTTTGGTAGCGCCACCTCAAGACTATAGATATAACAAGTGTATTGTGATAACGAGAACAAGGTGCAACGCATGATATCGCTATTGGTGTGCTTTTTGTTTCAGCTATAATGTTAAAGAAGTACAATTCCTTTTTGTAATATTGGTAACTCAAATAAGCCAGAGTTAGATGTTACATATTACATCTGGGGCCCTGGGGGGAACAAATTTATAAATTCAATTTAACCTAACCATAACAAAAGTATAATTAAGTGGGATTTTATTAAACTTTTTAAAAAACATATAATCTCGAAAAATAAAAAGTGCAGGTGAGATTTTACAATTTTATTCTTATTATTAGCCAGTTAGTGTGGTTTACTCAAAACTGCTTTAAATTAAGCATTATTTTGTTTTCAATTGTTGAATGAATGTTTTCGTCTCCATTAAGAAACGTTACCATTAAAAGTGTGATTTCGTAAAGCCCCATGTTACATTTTAAATAATATATATATATATATATTATTGTAGGCCATGTTTTTAATATTTAATTTAGACGTTTTTTTATTCTTTGTTAGGGAGAGTTATGGTATGGTATAATGATGAGGTGAACGCTTATAACTTAGTGTCTATATTTAACATGACGATTCGAATTTCCGTGAGATTTGGAGTGGGGGTATACAAATATTCTATAAAAACACCACAAGTTGATTGGTCACTTAGTTTCAGGCAGTGACTTAACTATTTAGTAAGTCAGTTCAGCATTGTAAATTTTAGACTTATGTTTCCACAAAATAGCGAGCTTGAAAATAAGTGACATTTTAGTTTTATTTGTAAGTTAGGCATTGTCATTAAGTGATATGGACTTTGCATTATTTTTTTCCAAATAATCAAAAATAATATGCTTACGATATAAACCAGAGAAACCGTTAAAACAATACTTATAACGACGAAAAAAGATAATAAAAACTAAAATATAACACCATAGACTCAGAAACTGCAATGCAGATCTATAGTCAAACTCAAATAATTCAGAAATATATACTCATTTAATAATAACTAATAAAAAGTTAAAGGATTTATGTAAAGTTAATTGGAGATATTCGTCTTTATTTCTGGTTGGTTTCTAAGTGACTTTATTCAAAATCAGTTTGACAATGTTCCTTGATGGCAGCTTGAACATTTGTTTACATTTGTGTAAATCTGTTTATTTTATCTTCAGTGAGCAGAGATTAAAACAGGGACAGATTTCACAAACCAGAGCTCTATTACTAGCATTCACTCGTAAGGCCCTTAAACTTCGACACTTGTCTCTTCTAACAAACAAGGACTGTCCTCGGTCTTTTCCTCAGGGTGGTGGGATGGTCACCAGTTGTGCTCCAGTTTTTCAGAGGTAATTACATTTTTTGAATGTCCTGCGAGCAGGACTTTAACTCAGAACCGCTCACTATAAAAGTGAGTGATCTACAGATTGAATTAAGAGGTTAACCACCATCGCTCCTTAGAAAGACATTTTTAACAACTTAAAAGGATCACAAGTAGTGCTTGAACCATAATTTGTAACATATTAAAACGTTTGTGTGCGTATGTACTGCATAATAAATTTATATAATTAGTTTAAGATATTTGGTTGTCAAATAAAATATCAGTTTATTAACTCTTAGTGTGTGAAAGAAGTCCTATGAGAGGAGAATTAAGTAATATTTTAAAAATTAATTTTTAATTAACTTTTAGGTTTTGGTAAAGATACGAATATATAAAAAAGTTTTGTGATTATAGGGTTATCATACTATCCAACTCCAGGCAGTGTAAATGTTGACTTGTTATTTGAGTCATTGATATTTACAGCTTTGAGTTTTCACTCACAAGGGAGAGAACGATCTTGGCGGAGTGGTTATGCCGGACTATGAATCCATAGTTTGCACTTTGTTACCGCAAAAATAAAATAATTAAGCTCCATATTTTGAAGCGTGAGTGCATTTTAAGAATAATGGTCAAATACCACTATTCAATTACATTAGCTCAAGAGTTAACGGTGAGTGACGTTGACTAGTTGTCTTCCTTCTAGTTTAGTACAACATTAGGGGTAGCTAGCGCAGTTAGCTATTATGTAGCCTTGCTTGAATATTCAGGACAAACAAAACAGCAAAACTTACCAACATTGACATTCCATATAAATATAAGAGATTTTTTATTTCAACCAACGTTTCGCTTTTGCGGCTTCATCAGAGTAAATATACACTACCAGAACTTCAGTAAATAATAAAGAAAATATAAGAACCTCTTCATTTATATAGTTTCCGTTTCCAATGCTCTTTGGTAGTAATGCAGTTTTTATAAATTCACACATTTCCTTAGCTATATATATTAACCCTGGTGAAGCCGCAAAGGCGAAATGTTGGTTGAAATAAAAAGATATTATTTTATATCTATCTAGAGTGTAAAGGTAGTTTTTCTAAACTTTTGTCAAAATATGTAAATCCCTCCAGTATGCACAACAAATTTTGAAAGACAACAAAAAATTACCAACACTGACTGGTTAAATCTGATGTATACGACTACTCCTAGCTCTCTTTGTTCAAATGTCACTATTATAAATACACTAATTCTGATGAATAATGTACCAATATGTTTTACAAACCATAAATCAGGTATACTGTAGTGCTTTGAAATCTGTTAGATTTTACACGACCGAGTAGCATATTAGTTATCTTCATCTTATTTACTGAATACATGATATCTCGGCATTATGCAAACTTGTAGAGAATTTCAATAAATAACAGAGGAAATATAAGAACTTCTTAATTTTTATAGTTTCCGTTTGGTAGTAATGCAGTTTTTATAAATTTACACATTATACATTTTTGGTGAAGAAAAATCGAACTGCTTCGTTTGACTCACAATGGTTAAAGTACTTGATTATTTAATTTACCTGCTAGGAGTTTAACATAGGCCAAAGCACACGATCTACTCCATACAAATATGGAATATCATCACAGTATAGTTGTTAGTGCACCAATCCCTACTTCTGAATCACCGACCACAAGAGAAACAGACTAGCAGTAACCATTTTTGATTCTCACCTTATTATTATTAATTATTGTGTATCACTTTTTATATAATTATTTTTATTTTTCACACCAGGTGCCTATTGTAAATAACATGGTTTAAATATTACTATTACTTCCATTATACGCTTGGGGAGTTTCGTATCAATCTTCACAAAGGCACTCCTCCTTCATATAATCTCTTCAATGTTCTTCTAGTTATAATGTTTAATTCAAGTTGGTTTGAATAATATCTGTCCCTCTCACGTACTTTCACGGCTACTACACTTCCATACCTTTACTTGAAAACCTAAGCCTGAAAATGTGAAATACAGTTACATTTAAAGGTTTTGAATGTTAGTCGAAGTGTTTAAATTTTAAGGCTTCTGTATCCCATTTTAAGCATTTTGAATAATATAATCAGTTTCAATTTATAATTTGGAATTTTGAGCCTGAATGACACCTCACGCAACATATGAACTAAGTGACCAGGTCAGAGACCCCAATGTTGCTGTACAGTCACCCATAATTTAGGACTGCTTACCTGAGGGAGAGATACCGTGCAGCAGCATCCGCTGTCTAATGGCCACTTTTAGCACCGACTCTCACATTTATAACGCCCCACAGCTAAATGTGAGTAGTGTTCAACATCATATTGTTACTCAACCGTTTGACCTTTTATTTTGCAGTTCATCACGTTAACCATTAAGACACACCTAGTTTGTCAGTTCCAAAAAAGGTTGTTGAACTTTGTAATGAAGAAAAGAGGCAGTTACAAGTACCTTTAAACACCGATCATGTGATTGAAAAATCAATGATGGAAATGGTAACCCGCTGCTTTCTAAAGCATTGAATAAATTTTCTGATTCCAAACGTTGTTTGATGTTTTAATAAAATCGCTCCAGCAGTCTAGCTAAGTAGTAAGAACTCTGCAGAGTATATCACATAGTGTTCTTTAGATTTTTCACCCATTTTTGTGGAAAATATTCCAGATCTACGGCCAACAAGGGAATTCAGCCTTCCCTTGGTGTGTATTGGAGTACAGTAGTAACCACACGAACTTTAATCTTGGTAAATAGGCTTTTAGTTCAAAAGTCTTAATTAGTTCAAGTTTTACCAATGACTGTTTATTTTGTGCAGCTCGGAATAAAAAATAACGAGTTGAGTTTGATGCCTGCTAGATGTCACCACCGAGCTGTATAAACTTCTAAAGTACTTGACGAAGCATAATGGCGGCATATGTATATTGTATTATAATTGTGTAAACAAACATTCGTGCGTAGCAACAAACACGTGTTGTAAACATTGCACGAAATCCTTCATAAATGTGTTTAACAAATTAAAATAAATGAATCAACCAAAAACAGAAAATATTAATAAATAGTAATAAAATATGAAAGGAATAAGAGGAAAACAGTAGGAGCATGGAGAAAAAGGAGTTGATTTAAACTTTCAGAATTCAGGAATATAAAGTTAACTATGATGAATAACCTGAAAGATTTTATTGGAAAATATAGTGTACCTCTTATTTTCATTAACGCTAGGATACTGTGTGAATTATGACATTGGGATATGTTACACATGTTGAATTTTTCATAGAAGAGACAATAGGGACAAAGAAACACACTATGGCAGGCGAGAGGAAACACAGTTTTACCTGCTGTTTCTCACAAGTGCAAATAATATCTTAATTAAACTAATCAAGCTGAAATATTAATGAGTGAGGGAAATTGTCAGTATAACATGAAATTACCGACAACATATACATGTGGTGTATCCAATTATTATTTGGTTGCGATAGGAATTTGTTTAATAATGCAGATTTAAACATTT